TAACTTTTGAAAATGTTCCGGAAGGTCTGACACTTTTATATATATCTTAAATTAAAGCTAATGTAATGTACTTTAATTTGAAAAAAAAAAATTTGACCTCTGGACTTGTCTTCATGGTGAAAACGGCTACCGAATGCTATTTTCGTGTGAAAATTCTCGATTTTATTATTTATATTATATTTAACTTTATAATGCTATAACTTATTGAAAAGTTTATGGATCCACACAATTTTTTTATGAGAAATAATATTTTTTAATAAACCCTTTTTTTTTGACATACTTTATCTTTATAAAGGATCTGTATAAGGAACCAGCAGATCAAGTAGCTTTTGGAATAAAACACCAATTTTTTTAAAATTAAACACTATCTAAAGATTTTTTTATAATGAATTTATTACAATGTCCAAATAATATTACAAGATTTAAAATTTAATAAAACAAACGTAGGTAATTTTTTTCAAAGTATAAAGCATACTAAGTAATATAAAATGAAGGAAGTTATAACAATTTCATGTGTTTTGTTAGAAGTTTTATGATTTATAAGTACAATGCATTAATAAATAATTATTATAGAAATTATATCGAGTATAAAATGACTCAATATTTTGTTTTGAAATTTTCACGGAGAAATTTTTAAAAATGTTGTTTCTATGGACAACTTTTATCAGCGTTTTTGTAATTATTGGTTTTGTCAAAAAAAGTGAAGGGTCTGGTTAAAAAAAAAAACACCAAATAAAACGTAAACATTTAATGTTTTTTTAAAACAAATTTTTTTGATTCATTCATTTTTAAAGAAGTTGTGAAAATTTTAAGAAAAAAGTTTTAAAAATCGTAATTTTTTGGTGATTTCTTCCATATATGGGGAACGAAGAAATTTTTTTTGTGGCGGTACGATATTGGTTTGGAATCTTAAATATGGATATGTGGAACCAATTTTTTGTCCATTTTCCGTAAAAATTAAATGACTTTATTTATTTTGCGGAATAAAATAGAGTAAAAAATTTTTATCTTAGAAAAAAAATTTTAAAAATTTTATAACATAACGTAACTTAGAAGGTCTTCTTTCTTTAAATTGCTAAGGTTTCCAATGTCATAAATTTTATAGAAGTTAACTTACAATTTGATCATATGCTTCAAGAACATTAGATTCAGAATTTTTTATAAATAATACACAACAGCTAGGAGAGTTTAAAAATGCATTTAAATACTCGTCCCCTGATTTCAAATTTATTTGTGTTTCGTCGAATTGTGTTTGAGATCCGAAATAAATTTCTAGAAAAGTTTTTAAGGTTTTATCATTATTTAATAAAGTGTAATTTTTTAGGCTTTTGATGCATGTTTATGTAAATGTAAAATACTTACCAGCCGTTTTTAAAATCAAATTTTTCCGAAAATCTGTTATCAATTCTTGACTCATTATTAAAAATTATTAAAGAATATGTTCAATGATTTTTTCTAAACTAATTCACGCTTATTTAATTTTTAGTGTTATTATTTTCATATGTGCGTTAAGTGTTTGGTTTTGTTGTAGAGTATTGTTGCTATGGAGATCGTGTGCGACAATAATAATTTAACGTGTTTTCAAACGACTTCAAAAAGAAGTAGAAACTTTCTAACATTTGTACTTATTACGAAAGTTATAAAAATTAACTTTTAAAATATCTTATCTAATTGTGAACACTTGTTTTTTAAGAAATTATATAAACTTTACGCTTAAAATCTTTAAATAGATGCGATTTATGTTATTTTATATTAAATTTAAATTAGAATAGTTTTAATTGTAATTATTATGCTTTCATATATTAAGAGATAAGTATTTTTCACATTAAATACCTAAATTAAGCATGATTAAATATTGAATTAAATTTATAATTATTTAATTTGTTAAAATGACTTGGTACAAGTTTTTTCAACTTAACTTTTGAAAGTGTTCCGGAAAGTCTGACACTTTTATATATATCTTAAATAAAAAGCTAATGTAATATACTTTATCATGGAAAAAAAAAATATTTCGGACTTTATTTTGACTTATCGGTGAAAATGGCTACCAAATACTATTTTTGTTTGAAAATTCTCGATTTTATATTTTACATTTTTAACTTTATAATTCTATAACTTATTAAAAAGTGTATGGATCAATACAATTTTTTATGAAAAATGATATTTATACCCCTATTTCATTTGATATACTTTATCTTAATCAGGATATAAATTAGGAAATAGTAGATCATCTAGCTTTTGGATTAATCGATAATGATGAATTTTCTTTTGGACAGTTTTGTTTATAGATAAAGCGCGTTTTTAATTTATTTGTGATACACAAAATATACGCTATTGGAAAGACGAAAATCCGCTTATTGTTCAAGAGAAACCGCTTTACGCCTCTAAGATGAATTTTTTAGATGGCGTGGTAACGTATGGTATTTTTGGCCCTTACTTCTTTGAAGAAACTTAACGGTGAACATTACCGATGGATGATGATCAGGAGATTCTCTTGTCTGTGCTGCAGGAAAACAAAAACTGTTATTGACATAATTTCAGCTAGAGAGCGCTATTAGCCATACCGCGACGAAAATGATAGAATTGCTATGCAAACATTTTGACGGATCTGTGATTTTATCTGGTAAATAATTAAGATAGTCATATTTGTGATTTAATTTTTAAAACAAAGAGATTTTATTGTAACTCTATACTGAATAATAATTTGTGAAATTCTACATCTTTTCATAAACAAAAATGTTTTAATTTGTGATAATTTGATGAAAAGTTATAACAATTTTAAATACGATAGATATCTGTGTCACACTCTATATTAATAATGTAACTTATTTTTTATTATCTAAGTTCAGTTTAGATATGACATATATCGCTAGATGCAACGAATAAATTAGCAACTTAAAAAATTCTATTTTTAGTTATAGGGTATTTGATTTTAGGTTTTACTCTTTTTATAATTAAATTTGATCAAAATTAAACTACTTAAAAAACTAACAAACTTATAGCATGTAATCAGAGAGTAAATTTTATTTTAGATCTTTTGAAACGTGAGAAAAAGTATATTTAAAGAATTGTATTTATTTTATAGAGAATGCATTTTACATTTATTTGTGTAGATCCTTTATAAATTCTTAAATGATTAATTTTTAACAATGGAAAAAAACTGCTTCAACTCAGTTATGAAATATACAGGTTGATTATTATAATATTAGTCATTTGATGTTAAAAAAAAAAAAATATGTTAAGAAAATTCTTTTTGGTATTTTTTAGTTTCATAGATTTATTGATTTATTAATTATTAATAATTTTCTTAATTCATCTCTTATACTATATAAGGGTGTCAATGTAAGTTTTTTAAATAGCAACATAAATATTTAACTAGCTTATGAAATAAAAAATGATCTACTTTAGAAAATGAATGGTCGATTACAAATTTTGACCAATTATTTCAAATGGTATTTCTGTTTTAAAATATAAAGTGGAGTTGAGGTAAGGGTTATTTTATTTTTTATCATTACACATTAATCTATCATGTTTTTCCTTCACTATGTTGCCGTTTAAAAAATAAAGTAAACAAGAAAGTAATATAACGTGACTTCTTATAAGGTACAAGGGATAATTTTAAAGAACACTTAATAATAATAAATAGTAAAATACCAAAAAGAATTTTTATAACATAATTATTATTTTAAAAGATATCGAGTAGCTAATGTTAGAAGAATCACTTTTTACAAATGTGTTAATATACCAATTTAATGTAAAATGTTGATTGATTTAAAAAATATTATTTATAAATATAGGCATTTTTTTAAAAATGATGCATTATCATTATCTACTAATTGTTGGTTTGCTACTTTAAATATTGAAAATAAATAAATGACAATAGGTATCTTGAATTATTTATTAGGATGGAGTAACTTATATAAGTATTGTTTTTGAAATCACAATTTAAATTTGAATAATAAGGATACATAATAATTTTTTTGTTAATAAAATAATAATGCATACAACATTACTTGTTGTATTTAATATAACGTAAAATAATAATATAATCAGATTAATTTTAATATATGTTAAACGAATACAAATTGTATTAGAAAAAATGTGTTGCATAATTATAAGTGAATTTGTGGTTTATTATATTTGTTGTTCATTTTATCAAAATAAATTTTCTATAAAATTTGAAAACTTATGTATTAATTTATAAATTTATTGAATTTAATTAGTTTTAATGGAAAATGAATGGTTGATAACATTATTATTTCTAAATAATAATATCATATTATTTAATATTATATAATTATTTATTACATTATTTTGTACAGTATAATAATGTGATTAATGTTTTTTATTAATATTTGCTATATAAAAGTATATATTTATATAATAAAAATTGATCACTTGTGGCTAATATTATTTTAAATTAGAACTATGTTAAAAATATTATTAGTATAGTTTTAATTTAAATATATATATTTGTTGCAGTAACTAGATTATTTTTTAAACTGATCGCATAAAAGATAAATATATATATATATGAAGAGTGAATGTATCAAACGTTCTATGTGCCAAAAACATATTTGTCCAGAAAACACAAAAAACAATGGTAACATGGGCATGTCTCACATAACAAACTTCATCTATGATTGCAATTTTGTACAAGTAAAAAATTTAATTGACATTTGAAACACATACAAGATTGTGGCCTTTGGCACATAGAACATAAATCAGAAATAAAACAATTTTTCACTTTTTTGGTACATAGAACGTTAGACATATTCACTCTTCATATATATATATGTCTGTTTTTAATGGAATTAATCACTTTTTTTAAACTTAAGCATATATATTACTGTTCTAAGAAGCATAGGTAGAACTATGTCCTGGATAAACTGTGCCATGTGGTCCCAAACTAATGAGGCCCTAAATTTGAAATTATTATTGTAATATTTTTATTAAAAAAAAATTTCATTATTAAGATAAATTCATTTTAATAAATAAAATGATTGTGTAAATAACTCCTTTCACAGTCATCAACAAATCAATCAATATCTACATCACAATTACTCACATGATATTTTAATATAATATGTATTGGGACATACCTAAGAAAAAAAATTGAAGGCTATTGATCGTTTCTATTAAATATTTTTATACAACGTTGCTTATATTTATCATAATTTTTGAAGGGGCTAATTTTATTTTTGGTGAGGCTACGAATTCAAAGCTCACCTCTAATACTACCTATGCTTCCTGCTCATGAAAATGTCTCAAGTTTACTGAAAAAATATATATCAAGGTGTCCCGTTCAATAAAAATATCTAATTTTACGCCTAGCGTAAAAAAGATATTAAATGATTTATGAGGCACTTAAAATCCTCAAGAAAACTGGTAATTATTATATTAAAATAAAGAACTAGAGAGGGTGAAGAATGATTTAATGTTGGCTGGAGGAGGTTTAGAATAGCATTATTTTCCGGGTGGCTAGTTGAATAACACGTAACTTAAATCTATTATTTGACAAAAAACCATTAATTAAAAAAGGTTTTTTATGTCGTTGATTTTTTTTTTGTACACTAAGAAACCATTGAAGTTTGTAGGATAGTTCTTTTGGTAAAGTATAAACTTCGGTGGAGTATCATGAGAATTCGGGGAATCAGATGATTAGCGTAATTTACCACAACGAACACAGCGTAATGGATAATTGCAGTAATTTTTAGTATAATTATATTCTTGTCATTTAATACGTGACTTATTAGTTTGGGTTTATACAGCACTTCTATTATAATTTTGTGTCGTTTGATTTAAAATAAATTCGAAATTAACGAAAAATAATGGTAATGGATTTTTATTGACTTTTTGAAAAATGTTAACATTATGTACTTGAAATTTGCATAGTTCTAATTCTGACTTAATTAAGCTGGTTTGAATTATTGAGTGTAAATTATGAACCAAAACAGGAGTGGCTTATTTTGTTGCCGCTGATACGTATAGGTGACACTTTAAAAAGCGAATTAGTGTCCTGAATGTAACATGAAGGTTAGTTTGGATTTTCAATTGATTCGTAAATGATTAGAAATTAAGACTTTTAACATTAGGAATTTCAAATATTCTATTTTTCAGGAAAGACTTAAATATGCCTTATGAAAATTGGAGAAGGAAGTTTGGTAATAGTTTCTGAATTGATTTGTGCATTGATGTTTGAAATAATCATAGTTTTGAATATCGTCAAGATTATTAATTTGACTGAAAAAGTCATATCTATTTGGCGATAAAATTTATATTTTTTAATTGATCGAGTATTANATTTTTAATAACAATTTGTTCGGTGTAATCAGCTGTGAAGTATTGTTATTATTATGCATTATAACGTGTGTTTTGAGAAAATATGCATCATGATAATGACTGTACACAATTATGTAACACACAAGTAAAAATAATCAAGGCTACATTTCGGCGAGTGTGATGAACCTCCAAAGCTATTTAATATGTTATCAACTCGATTATATAATCGGCGAATATAAATAGTCGCCGTAGTGAACTTTTTTTATAACTTCAAATTTAATTGATAGAATACAATTAAATAGCAGTGAGACTGACCAGTATTAAGATGAACACTAATTAACATGTATTTATTTAATTTTTTTATTAATATTATTAAACGGGCGTAAACCTCTAATTACAATATCAAGGCAGGTTTTACAGCTTATTAAAATAATTAAATAATTTATTAAGTTGAGAAAAAATAAAAAATAAATAAATTAGTAACGCGAATACACGCGTGTAACAAAGAACTATTATAATTGTATTTATCCTTCTAGTATAAATTAAGTTTATTATAGCTTTTTTTCTATGTAAGTAAACATTTTTGAGAAATAATGTTATATGATTTTTTTTTTGATTATAAACAACGTGGAATGCACAATATGAATTTAACATTATTTTTAGTTGAATATAACTGTTATATTGTAATATTTATATCTGAATTATTGAAATTTTTATAAAATATTAAAACAAATAAAGTAACTTATCAGTTGATTAATAAAATAAAAATAAAAAATGTCTTGTATAAAAGTCAAAACTTTAGTAAAACCATTTTAGTCACATATTTTACTAATAAATTTTGTTAAAAAATATTTGTATTGTTTTATTTTATTTGTTTATTTAATAATTTATGTATAATAATAATAATAATATATATATATTATTAAAATATTAAAAAAATATATTATATTAAATATATTAAAAAAAGGGGCTGCACTTTCAAAAAAATGTAAATGTTGTATATATTAATAACTTATGATAAATCACAATTTTATAACTGAATTTATAATTAACTTACTATCAAAATATCGAACTTTCTTTTCTTTTCTTTTTTATAATTACCTCGTAAAAATAATAACACTAAAATTAATTACTATTGGTGATTATTTTAACATTAACGACTCAATATCTCCTTAAATAATAATTATGTTAAAACATTTTTGTTTGAATTTTATAATTTTTCAATTTTTTGATCATTATGATTTTTAAAATTCATTTCTTATACCTTATAAGGGTGTCAATGTAAGTTTTTTAATGGCAACATATATATTTAACTAGCTTATAAAATAAAAAATGATCGAATAATTCTAAATTATTTAGAAAATGACTCGTCAATATCAAATTTTGACTGATTATTTCGAAAGTTATTACTGTTTTAAAATATAGAGAGGAGTTGAGGTAAGATTTATTTTATTTTTTATTATTACGCATTAATCTATCATTCTCTTACTCCACGTATACAAGTTTTCGACCAGTCATTTTCTTCATTATAACATTTCAGTTTTTATTCGAAGCTGAGGTGTTAATTTTATCATGATACGTTTATTTTATTATATATTTTTTTGTGTCTGTCATTACTTTTTCTCAGTTCTCCTGGACCGATTTTTCTTAACGATACATCAAAATATCACAAATCATATCTAGTTGAAGATATAATCCTCAAAAATTGAAAATTTTTCCTCGTTTCTTGTAAATAATGGGAAACTCCCCCAAAAAAGTACACATTTTAAAATCTGTAAATTTCTTAATTTTTTAAAAACTTTTGTACTTAAGTCTGTCTAGCTTTTGAAAAATGGATGAATCAAAACAATTTTTTTTGATAAACAGTATAGGTACATTTTTTTTATTAGGTATATTCTTTTTATAAGTTTGACCTTTTACCTACCCACAGATGGATTTCAAAATAGAAACTTTTCCACAAATGTCAATTTTTTTAACTTAACTTTTAAAAATGTAACACACTATAAATGAAAAAAAAATTGTTGCTTTTGTGATAATCTACCAATTTCTAAAAATTAAACAGTATCTACAGATTTGCATCGAAACATTTTCAATAGTAGTGATTTTAATCACTGCCAGATATGATTTATACTAATCACATTTATGTCGCGACGTTACTTTGTTCGTTTTTTTTTTTATCATAGCTTGAATTATGGATAGAATTTATATTCAGTTAATCATTAATATAAATTAATGCTACAATTTTATTATTGATTTTTTTAAATTAAAAATTCATTACTAAATCTCAATATTAATACATTGTTAATGCATATGTATTTATTTTCAATGAACAAAAAAAAATAATACATTTTTTTGGTTGTCAATCAGAAGATTGTTAATATTATTTTAACACAAGATGGTAGTTATAACTATGTCTATAATAAAGAAGTTCTTACGTTCCTTACATAAATTTGTTACGCATGATAGAATTCAATTTAAAATTAACGATGATGAAATAATATCACTTGGTACAGTAGGATATTGAAATGAAACTAAAAGGAGAGCCTTGAATAAGTATAAAAAACAAATGCAATCATTGCAGTGTACTAATGGAGCTATTGTTAATGGCATGCTTACCATTTTAAGAGATATGCTACCAAACTTCATGTATAGTAGCAAAAATAAAAAAAGCTATAAAACCCGAACATTTTTAACACTATAAAATATATGTTAATCACGTGCTTTCAGTGTTATATGAAAATGTTTTGGATAATGCTTGGTTATGGACAGTTTACAAAAAATTGTTAATGTTCGATAACTGGACTTTGACAAAGAAATATATAAGTAATGATCATTTCAACGATCCACAACTATTTAATGACATTTGAAATTTTATTGGTATGTGTATTAATAATGACTACTTACCAAGAACGATTGAAAAGGATCTATCGATTTATTTAAGTATCGAAAATCAACACATATTTGTTAAAACATTTATTGATGAACTATATAGTAAAAATGAGTTATCGCGGTTTTACCGTTATGATGAATGATTCATTCCAGCGTATGTATATTTATTTAATTTTTATATACACGATCAATTCTTATTTACATCAATAAAAGGTTTGAATATTCAATGGGACTTTATAAACTTTCAGGTAGAGGAATTTAAAAATGAATCTATTGTAAGTTATGGTAATGATGAATTGATAAAAAAACCATCATGGTTTCTTAATTACAGCTCTAATGTTATAAAGGTTGTCAAAATAAAACTATTGAGTTACACTTATTTACATTTGTTAATCTATCAATCACTTATATCAGAATCTTCGACCCCTTCCAATGTAAGTAAAATTTTTAATTGTCAAGTTAAAGAACTATTTAACCATTATATAGAATATTTATCCAAAATCATCAATGAATTGTGGATTGAAGATGAATTTTCTGGGATTTAGTTAACCAGTTATCATACATGAATGAATCTAAATGAACAGAGATTTTTGATAAATGGCTAAACTCTATTATTAACAACGCATTGACATTTGATATCAATATAAAGTTAAGTGATGATTTGTTACGCATAAAATTATATTCTTTAAAACAAAGAGCTAAAATTATGACTGATTATTCAAATGCTTTAGAGGATTTTTGCCGTGCACTAATAAGTTGGATACGACCTTTAAACTTTATATTTGCAAACAAAAGTAAATCTCATATTAATAATACATTTTACCAGCGAAATGTTGAATAAACTATTATTATTATAAATATTTTAATAAAAAAATATATATAAAGGGTTATTTTATAAATCCCACTAAATATAAAATAAAAATAATTAAAAAAATTTTTTTTTGGTTACTTTTAGTTACATATTATTCTTAAACTGCTTAAGTTTATCCCTAATTGATTGTAAGTGTGTCAATTTTGATTTTTCTAATGGAATACATATTTAGAATTTAGTAAAATCTTTGATGTTTTATTTTAATTGTATATGACATTTGAAATTTTATTTTGAATTTGAGTTTACATACACCCAAAAAAAAACCTCAATCAATTTTGATAGAGAAATTTTATCAAGGGTTTATGATAATGTTTTATTAATACGAACAAAATAATTATTCTTATAAATAATTATTGTTCAAGACAAGAAAAAAAATTATCATATTGATAAATATATCATAGATTCAATAGTAATGATATATTTATCAAATTGAACAATGAATTTATTATATAGATCGAGGTTTTTCTCTGGTGTACATGTGTAATGCACTAGGGTTTACAAATACAGGTTGCTAATGGGTTTTTTATGACGATGCTATCACATATAAGAAAACATTGACAATTATGACTTTATCAATAGATATGCTTTTTGTATTTAGTGTATTTATAAAATCATAACAATGTGTTTTACTACCATTGATAATAAATGCTGCATATCTGCAAATATCGACGTCATAAAAAACCTATTAGATATTTGTAATCGATCGTGTATTATACTTGTAAATTAACTCAAAAATTTGAAACTTTTTAGTTTTATATCTAATAAGCGAATAATGTATATTAAAGGTATTTGGTTTTTTAGTTTTACTACAAGAACTATAAGCTGAAATATTTATAGTACTTAAAAATAGACTAAAAGTTTATTAGTCAATAGTCTTCATAACAGTTCAACTTATTGACAAGTATAAATTTTTTTTATTTTACAGGAAGTTATATATTATTATGTAGTTTATTGAAAAAAATCGTATGACTTTTAAAAATCTGAATATATTTAATTTTTGTAAAAGAAAATTGCAAAATTAATAAAATTAAAAATAATTTAATCATTAAGGTGGCTCTGGATTTTGAAATTATAAAATACGATAAAAGCAAATTCTAGCTTATTTTTAGATTATAAAAATGGTTTTATAGATAATTTTAATTGGTGTTTATATTACGAACCAATATAACTAATTACTTTTTATGAGAAGAGGTTTTTTATTTATATTATAACTATATTATGTTGGTTTTTTGTTACATCACTAAATTCTTATGGGAATAATTTTTTTAATGTATTGAGCTTAAAACAAGAATATCAGATATGGTAAACGACTGAATAATTGATAAATAATGATTTTTTGGGAAATTTTTAATAGAAAAAATAGGCGTTTGTCAGAACGACAAAACACATATACACACCAAAATACCGGTATATGAAACTGAAAAGAAAATACTTTACTAAAATTGTATATGACAAGGATAAAAGAAGAACACACGCGCAAGGTTAAGTTCAATGCCACGAAAAATTATTACTTAATATTTTATAATGTATATTTATAAAAGAAAATAACTAAATGAAATCTTTTTCAAACATTTATGATATATTATTACTTTTAATGCAAAGTTTCAAATTTCCTTGATTTAATAATAAATATACAATTGTAACTAAGCAATTATCAATACATTAATTTTATTTAGATAACATTACATGTATATCTATTTCACAAATTGTTTAATTTTAATACCACATAGCACATATTAAGTCTTATCTTTCTTAATCAACACATTTTGTTTTGTTTTTTATCTGTAACGTTAGGTCACGTAGGCTACAAACATGGAGCTTCAACGAAGGAATAATAATTGATAGTATATTAAAGTTTATTCAGTTAAGTTTTATGAAATATAACGAACGTGTACAGGTATTCTATTGAGTAAATTATAAAAATCGAGACTGCTTAACGACAACTTTACATTTTTTTAATTGTAAAAAATGAACGTTACAAGTAATACCAATAAATTACGATATAAAATCAAAGTTAGTGGTTTACCTAGGTTTTATTCGTTAATGGTATGTTTAATTGATTTATAAAAAAATTTAATTAAAAAGCAGAAAAATTTAATTTAATAATACTTTTTTGAGAAACTAATTAAATGAATACTACGTTGAACTTATAAAATATAATATATAATTTTTTTTTAGTTTTCATAAAAAGTATGATACAAATATTTTTGAGTTTAAAATATCTATCAATAGATTTAGGTAAATTACAGTATTTTATTGGATTATGATAAAATAATTTCAGTTGGAAGCATAAAGCAAGAGAGTAGATAAAAAATCCCCTATAACGATTTTTTTTACATATAATAAAATTAGATTAAAAATAATGGTATGAGGTTATTTATTCAAAATCTCTCATGAATAATCAATATCACGTCTTTTGTATAAAGTATTCATTTTTTTATTTTTAACTACAAATTATGAACAGTTATTATGTTAAAAGTTCTCAATTAATCAAAGAAATATTATTTTATATAATTCTCTCATAAAACAATTGAACTTTAAGTGGTTTGTGTCATAAATTTCATACATTCAAAATAACTATTTTATTCTACTTTAGTGTCATATATCTTATTAGAATGCTAAAATCATATAAACTTGAAGAAGTTATTAAAATTATTTATATTATTTTATAAAGTGAAGAAAATATATTCTTTTAACGTTATAATTATGTCTTCTTTTAAGGATCCATTATTACAAGAGTTCTTAAAAATGATCAACGATGAATTATTTTTGAACTGCATTCATGCCAGGTATAGTAAAAAGGGAAATGCGTGGCTATATTTAACATTTTCAACTGAAATCGAACAAGTTGCTGCTTTGAAGTTTTTGAAAAAGTACAATTGGAAAGGAAGATCACTCATAAGTACAGTTAGTGATGATAAATAAGTGTACTAAATTTGTTTTGTATAAATGACAAAAGTATTTCATTTAGCTAGTTACTGCTGATAGACCAAAAATGAATGGAAACTTAAAAATTGAAGAGGAAAATTGTTCATCTAAAAAACTTAAATTAGAAATATCACTCACTGAACAGGTGTTAATGTCTATTATTCCTTATCATAGTATTGATTACGAAGAACAAGTGAGAAAATACTTGTCTGTTATAACTTTTTAAATTATGCAATTCATTGTTTACATTTTATTTGTGTATTCTAGCTTAGAAAAAAAAGTGAAGAAGCTAGAATTCTATTTCGTCGTTTGGAAACAATCATTGAAAGAAAACAACCTCATTTGGCGGAATGGTGTACAGCCCGAAAACGTTTGCTGAACAGTGATTTAGCTTTTGAAATATCTCCAATAATACCTTCGAATAAAATTGATCATTATCGAAATAAATGCAAATGGAATGTTGGTGAGTAAATTACATGACTTTAATCCATTAAATTCAAACGGGAACTGGGTTGTGAAAAATAGAAAATGTGTTTGTTTTTTCAAAATGGAAAGTTCACTAATTAGCCCTACGAAATGGGTTTTTTTTGTATTATAATACCCAAAGGACTGGGTTTAAAATGTATACAGGAATAAATCCCGATTGTGGCTTAGTAGCGGTTGGGCCGAGAGTGAAAGGTTTGATGGATGGAATCCATTATGTCGGTCCACCGGATTGCCTGAGAAATTTGCCAATACCAATGATTACTTTAGCAAAGGTAGAGTAGCCGTTAAAAATAATTAATATTTAATATTAATTACTATTATTACTTTTTAAAATTTTATTTATAAAACTAAATAAATTTTAGACTTTAAACTATCCTAATATGATTACAGTACTTCTACTATATTTTATTTTTGCTTTACCTTATGATAGAGAGGACAGAAATTTTATTTTTTAATTTTATATTATATTTTACTATTTATATGAAAATTATTTTATACAAGGTGAATCTTTATTGATAGTGACTTTTGATTACTTTTAAAATAAAAAATTATATAAATTACGATTAATGTCAAATAACAAATATTGATATATACATGCCTCACTTCCAAATGTGGTAAAAATTCATAATTTTAAAATTTATATTATTTTAATTTTTTAAAGTAAAATTATTTGTGTATATTCTGTCATCTATAAAAATTTTTTGACAAAATTAAAATTTTAAGTACACTAACTATTATATTTATTACAATCATAATGATGCTATAACTTTGATTTATTTTGATGAGTCATAATGTAATTTAAATAATTTCACTTATAAATATAGTAATTAAATCGAGTAAATATTATCGGTATATACAAAATGTGATATCATACATGTTATATACGGGTGTGTATAGTGATTCCTAATTTTATCTATATTTAGACCAACTATTTAAGTTGAACGTATAATACAATTGTTAAAACAAAAAAAAACCTTAATATTATTTAAACTGTTGTTATTTAATATATTTATTCATAGTGTTACACCATGAAAATTTATTCATTTCCTATAGCAAAATTTACTGAAAGATTAAAAAAAAAAAAATTTGCCTCGTCTGTTTATGTGTTAAATGATTGTCTGTGATTGAAATTGTGTATACTTTATTTTTGTTTATTTTAATTATTTTGAAATAATAACAATGGTTTTTTTACTTAAAATTACAGGAGATATTATAAATGAGTGTATACTAATTGAACTATACATAAAGTGTCACCTCGGGAGAGGGATACTGAGTACACGTGTCTCAAGTGGCACTAATATATGAATCAGTATAAATTACAAAGTTGAAGATCACTTTGTTTCTCAAATAAAAAAAAAAAGGAAAATGTATTTTGATGAGTAAAATATAAAAGTAATTGGCATCGACAGAATTGAGTATGAAAGGCGCTCAAATACTTAAATGCAACCCTGTACACATACTATCCAGAAGATTTCGATTTAGAGAGAATAAATCCTAATTACCCCAAAACTATAACCTCATTAACAACTAATAATTAATATTTTAAATAAATTATTATTTATTTATTTATTAAAAATGTATACTTGACAATAGTGTGTTAAAATAACTTACCAACATTTTTTGAATGTGTAATTCGGGCTCTACTTATGAGCAATTTAATTGCGGACTAATTAACAACTTTTAAAATTGAATAATGTACACTCACTGGTAGTAAATTGCGATTTTAATACTCCAAGCCCTCCTCAACATGCTTCGAATCTTCAAATTCAAATCTAGTATCCTCTATAAACTTAAGATCAATAAATTACTTCAGAAAATTGATTTATTAAAAAATATCTTCGTAACCTTTTATAAAAGGACTCAACTTAAAAAATGAATATCAAATTTTAATTCAGTGACTTTAAACATACATGTTAATCTATTTGACAAAAACTATTTTTAGTTATAATTAAAAAAAATATGATATTTGATGATCTTTAAAAGATTTTGACCAATAATATTGAGTGAAAAAATTAGGCGGCAGAGTAATGCGTAATGATAAAAATAACATAATCGACATCTCATATCCACTAAATATTTTAAAATAGTAATTATGGGTCAAAAGTTGTTATCGACCAGTAATTTTTTTAATTAGTTCAATTTTAGCTTCAATGCAAAGCTGAGAAGGTATTAATTTTACTATGATGTGTTTTTTTTTTTGTGTCTGTTACCACTTTTTCTTAGCTCTCACTGAACCGATTCCTTTCAGCAATACGTCAAAAAATCAACGAATCAATATAATTTTTTTCTATAGATGCATAATGTCTTTACCTATCATTTGATATATTTTTTTTATAAATTTGACCTTTTACCTACCCACAGGGAGGGATTCAAAATGACAACTTTTTCACAAAAAATTAACCTTTTCAACTTAAATTTTGAAAGTGTTCCGTAAAGTCTGACACTTTTATATATATCTTAAATTTAAGCTAATGTAATATACTTTATCATGAAAAAAAAAATATATCGGACTTTATTTTGTCTACACGGTGAAAATGGCTACCGAACGCTATTTTTGTGTGAAAATTCTCGATTTTATTTTTTACATTTTTAACTTTATAACGCTATAACTTATTAAAAAGAGTGGACCAACATAGTTTTTTATAAGAAATAATGTTTATATCCCTTTTTCATTCGACATACTTTATTTTAATCAGGATATAAATAAGGAAATAGCAGATCATGTAGCTTTTGGAATAATTCACCAATTTTTTAAAATTAAACACTATCTAAAGATTTGCATCAAAGCGTTTTTTATGATACTGATTTTAATCATTGTCAGATATCATTATACTTGATCCAACTATGCCACGTCACCACTGTGCCTCGACCCCCCTGTGTTGGGTTTTTTATTTTATAAACTAGTATAAATGTATATTGTCATTTAAAATTCACTTCTCAGCTTCGCATTAAAGTTAAAATAAAGCTGACATATACACAAAAATATATGGAATGAACAACTAACAAATCAAGAAATTGAAACTAAATGGCATTAAAAATACTAATAATAATTTTCTTAATATAATTATTATTTTAAGGAAATCGAGTGACAAGTTTTAAAATAATCACTCTGTATATGTTCATAATTGTGTATAGCGTCCCATCTAAAAGCTATCACTGTAGCAGAGAAGATGGAAAAACTTACATAGTTCGAAACGGAATCGAACCTGTACCTACGCGTCGAGACACGGCGTGTTATCCATTAAATTAAGTTACTTTAATGTATATTAACAAGTAATTTCATCAAAATAATATCAATAAGATATTACTTCTATCTAAGTAATATGGAATAATTTAATTAAAGTTCAATTTGAATTTGTTTACATAAATATTCGTTATTGTGCTGAAAAGTGTAGTTTTATAAATATTTTAATAATTTCGTATAAACATATTTTGAGTGGAAAAATATTTACGTAGTAAATTATTTAATTAAGATATTGACTGGTCGATAAATTTTTAACCACTTCTTTTTCGTTTTCCTCGTCTTAATACCAACTACTAGGGGTCGGCCATCCTTATCCTAAACTTCCACTTGGCACGATCTCCCACATTGTACGCTCACATCAGCCGTCCTCATTCGCATTCAATTACATCTCTCCGTCTCTTTTTTGGTCTTTCTGTACCTTTTCTTCAACATTCATTTCTATAACTGTTTTTACAGTTTCCGATTCCTCTTTCCTCATAACATGACCAAACTATCTGTGTCTATTTTCTCTTATCTTTTCTACGATTGACGCTACACCTATACTCCCTCTTATATGTTCGTTCCTTATCCTATCTTTTCTAGTCACTCCACTCATCAATCTAAGCATTCTCATGTATGCTACACTCGTTCGCTGCTCTACTTTCTTATCAACTGCCCAACACTATGAACCATACATCATAGCTGGTCTTACTAAAGTCTTTTAGAACTTTTAAAATGATTAAGTCTATTAACTCTTTAGCTGAAATTTATTGAAAACAAAACAAAGTTTTTAGTTAAGTGTGTCTGAATTTGGAGTTAATCTTTCAATGTATTATTACATAGTCATATAAAAAGGTATGAACAATAATTATGAATTCCATTTTCATGCTATAACACAGATAGAAATCTAAATTATTTGATTACATATAGTTTACGACACTTCTATAACTTATAATGCAAATTTACACGTTAAAATATAAACTTATTCAAACTAGCTTGTGAAAAACCTATTTAGCAACACACTCTAGGCAACCCTAGATGACGCCTTCATCGAAAATGATTAAGAAATCTACTTAAAAAAAAAATAAGTGAAGTTAAAAAATAGAATGCAAAGCTAATCAACCATTACGTTGTTTGGTAGACGCAGAGCTGCGCTTCACCAAGACAAAATATATATTAGGGTGTCCAAAAAAAATTTGTTTTCGTATTTTATTTAGAAAATTTAGCACATAGAGCTAAATCGACAAAGTTCAAAATTTAATTATTGACAAAATAATTTTTTTTTGTGGTTATTTCATTGTTTAAGCACTATAACTGTAGTAACATAATGGTTAATAGCATTAAATGTGTTATGTAAGTAAGAAGACAGACTTTTATTGTTCTCATTGTTTATAAAAATTTACCTGTTTGAATTTTTTTATACAATTTATGTTGTAAAAGGGTTAAAAAGAAGTTTTGTTTTTGTTTACTTTTGTCATCTAAATAAAAAAAAATTTTTTTTGAATTTTAATTGCATACAATAATTTTTCTTTATAAATGTTTTTACTAAGAATAATATAAGCCAGCACAGTTTTAAATAATTACCTATGTAAAATAGCAATAAAAATAAAAATTTTAGGTTAATTGATTTTTTTTTCTGAGTAGGTAATAAATCATGATTTTTAAAGGGTCATAAAGTCAAAGACTTTTGATCATCCTTTTAGTATCTTAAAGAGAAAAAAATAGACAATAATGCAAAAATATATGAAAATTACGATGCCATAAATAACAGAATTTTAAAAACACTGATTCTATTTAGTTTTTAATAAACTATTATGTAATTAAAACTGGAAAAAACAATTTTATGACTAAAGTAAAAAAAAACAATAATATTTATAATCCTATTACATTATATAGTGTAAAAAAAAAATAAACCGGATTTAATTATTTATGTGAATTGATGAATTTTGAACTTTTAGTCGATTTAGCGACCTCTACAAAATGACCTTGGAAAATCTGAAAAAATGCACAAGTTATTTTTATCTCCATTGAAAGTTAATTATGTCGTAGAAAATATTTTTTGTAAGACACGATTGAATTGTAATAACTAAAAATAAAGTTGATGGGGATGGTATTTACAAAGAAGAATGATAATGGCATCATCCGTAAAGACATAATAAATAAAAGTACTTTATTTCTAGTTATTACTTGATTAGTGTAGTTAATGTGTTTAAACTACTCTTCCACGTGTAGAGAGGAGAAGAAATGCTTTAGGTTTATTAGATATTAAATAAGAAATACAGATTATTGCATAAGTGTATGTTATAAACATAGAAAATACAGATCCGTTTTTTGAATTTCGATGGATTGTCGCTTTTTGTTGTTCAAGTGAATTTTCGAGTTCGGCACCACGTCTTTCCATGCTGACCGACCAAATGAACGTTTGAATTTTTCCAAGTTCATCAGCTGTCAAATACTATCGGAGTCACATCGTGATACGTTATCGCTTATCATGCAATTACAAACTAGATTTTTAACTTTATAATGTTGGTTTATGAATATTTTGTATTCAATGTATATTAAATATTAATATTATTAGTAATCCTCAGCTTTAATTGTTAAGTCATAACAAAATGGTATAGTGCCATGATTCAAGCAAAACATGATGTACATTTTATAATACCCTTACCACGCCGCGCTGATATGGACGAAATATATCACTTATGATGTCGGCGTCGACCGACTATTCAGTGAACGTTAAGCTTAATAAAGTACCCTAACTATAAGTCTTTAATTCAAAGTAAACATTTAATTAATGTTTTAACGATGCAAAAAATATTTACTTATTTTGAATAAAAAATAGTAAATATTAATATTACATTTATAAAAAAAAAAAAAATTATCATATATTTATTGAAAGTCTTAATTGATTAATTATTATTTTTAAAAATCTTATTTTATGTTAGATGATAAAAAATATTAGTCATTTTGAAATAAAATACATTTACAATCATTGTAAATATATTAATATTAATGTTTACTAAAATTTTCAGTGAGAATTAGATATTTGTTAGTTCTTTGTTATTTTATAGAAATTTGAAGAATTTTTGAGAATTAATGGTGAAGATTGGAAAATCTGGCGAAATATGATGATACGTATGAACGAACATGGAGAGGTCATGTTGTCAATAATTTTAAATCAGCACAACTTTAGTGATTTAAAACTAATGAAAATAAAATCTTCTATCTTAAAGTGGTTTACAGAAGCTATTACTGAAAACGTTGTTTCTCTATATTTCCAAATTTACAGTGATAAGTGAGATACTAACCATCAAAAATCTATTTTGTTCGCGAAACAAAATTGTAGTAAGAGTAATGTATACTTTTTGCTTAGATTTTCAGCTGCTTGTGTTGATAAACCATTTGAAGGTGAATTATTATGGGGTCAAAAATTTCTAATAGAAAAATTATTGGATTTGTCACTGGAAATTTCTCCAGCTACATACTTCCGTTTAAGCAGTTTGGGTGCTGAAGAATTATGTAAAGTGGTAGCTGATTTGGCTAATGTTGACGAATATACAACAGTACTCGATTTATTTTGTGGATCGGGATGTTTAGCTTTAACTTTAGCCAAGGTATAATTGCATTGCATTTTCTTATGTAATTCACTAGAATATGGGTGTTTAATATACATTAATTTTTATAACTTGAATAATATTTGATCTTAAATTTGTGGCTACTGAATAACTACAAGAAACCTTCTAATAAAAAGACTTAATGTACAGAAGAGACGTTTCTAACTTTTTATAGGCTCATATAAATTTGTTTAGATGACACTGTGTGAATTATTATTTTAATATATTTTATAATTGTATATGCTAAATTTTTTTGATTTTTATTAATTACAGAAATGTAAGAAATTAGTGGGAATAGAACTTATTAAAGCAAATATCGATGACGCAAAGAGAAACGCCGCTAGAAATGGAATACATAATTGTGAGTTTATTGCTGGTCGAATAGAAGATATCTTANAATTTTTATAACTTGAATAATATTTAATCTTAAATTTTTGACTACTGAATAACTACAAGAAATCTTCTGATAAAAAGACTTAATGTACAGAAGAGACGTTTCTAACTTTTTATAGGCTGGAAGGGCTCATATAAATTTGTTTAGATGACACTGTGTGAATTATTATTTTAATATATTTTATAATAGTATATGCTAAATTTTTTTGATTTTTATTAATTACAGAAATGTAAGAAATTAGTGGGAATAGAACTTATTAAAGCAAATATAGATGACGCAAAGAGAAACGCCGCTAGAAATGGAATACATAATTGTGAGTTTATTGCTGGTCGAATAGAAGATATCTTAGATTCCGTTTTAGAGAAGTTAAAGGGGTGTAAAGTAACTGTAATAATGGACCCTCCATTATCAGGAATCAGTAAGTAATTAGCATTATAAGAAACATGAATTTGAAGTAAATTGTATGAACTATTTTGTAAAGATACAGGATTAGTGAGGACTATTCGAAAGTTCAAAGAGGCCACCAATTTAATTTATGTATGTTCAAATCACAAATTGCCATTAAAAAATTTGCTTGATTTATCGTTTGTTGTACAATACTGTCAAAAGTCAATTGATTCAGATCCTTTCCTTCCTCTTCGTGTTGTTCCTATAGATATGTGTCCACATAGTCTTCGATCGGAACTTGTACTACATTTTAAAAGATTTAGTGCACAAGAAATATTATTGATATCAAATCACTGCGGTAAAAAACTTACACGTACTTATGGGTATCATAAACGATATAAGACATCTTTTTGTCATAAAAATCAATTAACTTCACCTCTGACTCAAAATACTCCATCATCATCAGGAAATCATGGACTATTAAATTACATAAAAAAAATTGAAGAACGAGCGTATCAAGAAGGATTAGTTGAAGGGTTAGAGAGAAAAGCATTTCAAATGGGATATGCCAGAGGAATTCAAACTGCTCTTGTAAATGATAACAACAAAAATGATGAGTGTGGTTACAGTTCTTTTTGATTTTTAAAATCTCTTAATTTTTTTTTTGTAATAAAAATAAAATAATGTTATTCATTTCATTGTTTAAATTAGTTTTTTGGGATTTGTTTTATCGTATTAAACATATAGTTTACGATAAAATAAAATTTATAATTATATATATACATATGTATATATATATGAAAATCATACACTATAAGTTTTTTATTAATATTTTATAATAAAAATGATGTATAATAATTTAAGCTATTAATATATTATATTATTTATTTAAATCTATTAAATATGAACTTTTTATGCAAAAATTTAAAATTCATTTTAGTAACTTAGAATTATATCTTAAATCATAAAAATATTACCAATTTTATAATTAGACTTCTAAAATAATTTTTAAAAAAGTTTTTTGTTCTATCGTACCATAAAGCATACAACATTATTAAGTGTGATTAATTAATCGTTTTATCCATAAGCAATACATTTTTTCTAAAATAGTGTTAATTTAAAAAAAAAAATCTGATTTAGTTTAATATTTATTTCTTGATTTATAAGTGGTTAAATATTTTATAGGTCTACCTCTTATTCCTTTAAAGGTACAAGCTTTATTTTTCTACATGGAAACATACATATTTAATGTAAAATTTGCTAACATAAAGCATAAAATACAAAAATCAAATTATACATAATATGTATAAATTACATTATATAGTATTTATTACAGTTAAACATTTCTATAACTTTTAGTTTTGAAACGATTGAGGTAAATTTATCTTTTATTACACAAAAATATTCATAAAAACTATAGAAACAAAAACACTATTTTATCTCGATAAATAATATTTATTGTTGATTGATGTTATCTACATAATACAATTATATTTGTAAAGTTATTTATAACTATGTATTATAAAGCATTAATACTGAATATTTTAATATCTTTTTCTAATTTATGTTAATGTTTATCTTATGTAATGTTTACAATCTATAAAAATTGTCTTATAAAAATTTAAATCAATATAAAAAAAATTAATATAAAAAAAATAACTCATTAACATGAATATCCTAGTTAGAAAATCAAGATCATTTACATAACCAAGTTATTGTATTCGCGGGGATTTGAATGGAGAGATTTCCTCATTTACAGAGAGTTATGTAAATTTGTTTAAATTAAGGTGATGAAACAAATCTAGATACTATTTGTGACAATTTGTATATTAAAATTTTCTCTATAATTTAGAGAAGATTTATAAAATTAACACTTAAGAGAGATATAAATCTTATTATTTTCAAAAGAATATTTACTTGAAATAAGCTAAAAATACTCATTAGAATCAGGACTTAACATAATCGGAACATACGTTAAAGTCTGACAATGATTAACATCGCTATAATAAAAGTTTCAAAACGAATGAAATTAATAGAAATCCGAAATAAAATTGGAGGGATTAGTCCTCTAAATCGATACTCTTTATAATTATAAGCATTTGAAAAAATATAAGTTTGTGAGTTTCTATGACCTGTTGAGTTTTTCGACTACGATATAATATTTCCGTATTTTAAAAATAAATTCAATTTTTAACTAATCTTTCATAAACTTTAAACAGCTACAATTGGTTGAAAATCTAATAATTAAAAAAAAATTATTGAATTTTTTTTAAATTAAATTAATTTGATGATATCAAATTTAATATCAGAATGGATGGTAGTAGAAAATTGATTTTTGCGTAGAGTAGCTCAACAAAGAACCATTATTGTTAAAAAAATAAAATACTGAATATTTCAGAAAATATTTTATGAGGCGTATATAATAGCACAGTATATTTCTATTGATTGGTATATTATTAAGGCGTTTCCAAAACAAAAATCTTATTGATTCATACGGCTAAATGTAGAAAAAGTTGTAGACATTTTAATTAAAATTTTGTTTAAAGAAGTCAAAATTTGCCAATTTTATTAATTATAATTATATGATAGATTTCTCCTATATATTGAAAATGAAAGAATTTTTTCCACTTTTAATCTTAACATCTTTAACTAGATACATTATGTAATCTTTTGACGTATCGTTAATCAATGTCGGTCCAGTAGAAACTGCAGCGATATCATACAACACAAGATTTATCTTAATTTTTCACTCATAGATTTACTTTAATAGTCACTAAAGTCAATCTTCTCAAATCAAATTCGAATTAAAGAATATTAATATTNAATCTTCTCAAATCAAATTCGAATTAAAGAATATTGATATTAATTATAACTTTTGTAACATACTAAATTAATCATTTTAATAGTTATTATTATATTATAAAATAACATAGGTTCTTCAATGATATTAAAAAACATTTAATACTAGCAATAATTAGTTTCAATCTTATACGGGGTTTTTCATCGTGATATACTAATTTGAATATTATTTTATATAGTCAAATTAGTAAACCCCAGTGGGACCACCTGCAGTGTAATAATCTGTCCATTATCATATTACATTGTATTCCTCAATCTTTTATAAATTAATTCAATATTTTGATCTCCTGAAATGTAAGAATAAGTTTGTTCTTCATTATTCATTGCGCATAATCATATATTTGCAGATAATAAAGACACTAATTTAACTGACTGCATTAAAATCGACTAAAAATCGAGTTTCTCCCACTGTGACTCAGACGCAGTCCTTGAAAAAATTGGTAAAAAGGAGATACATTATCGGATTGTGTATTGTTTGTTTTATTTTTACTAATAGAAAATATTTTATTGTTCAGTTAGTCTTTAATTATTTTTGTGTAATTTTTAGATTCATAATGCAATTTTTCCAGGTAAATTATTATCTTAACTCTGTAGGTGTGATCCAAAAGAATATTATATTGTACATAGGTTATTTACAAAGTAAGGATATTTCATTAAAATTTTGTAACAATTGCACATAGGATTATATTTGACAGTCTAACTGGCATAAAAAAATATCTAAATTAAATGGAAAAGTCATTTTTTTTTTTAATTTTTATATATTTATTACAGATTTTAAAAGACAAATGCAATATTCTTTTTGATCACTCTTAGCATGATAACTGTTTATCTAAACCAATATAACATTTGACGTTTAAAAATAGTTTATTTAATTATATAAATGTCACAAAACTTATAGACATCTCTTATAACTTTAAGTACAAATATTTAAAAAATCGAAATTTTTCTATCATTTACCATAAATTTAGTAAATTCTAATAATATTACAATTTTTGAAATTGATAATTTTCGACATTTTTTTAAACTTTTTTTTACTGAAAACCGCCATAACTTTTTGAAAAATGTATGAATTAATTCAACTTTTTTTTAGTAAATTATATATTACCCTTTTTTTTAAATCAAACTTTTTTCTTCATGCAGAGGGTTTTGCAATAAAAATAATAAAATATACAACTACTTTATAATTTCTCTGTGAAAATTACAACACGAAATATTGAAAATATTATTTTTAATATTTATTATTATTGTTATAATAAATCAATTTCATACTAAATTTAATTTCTATGATATGTATTTACTAATTTATTATACTAATAATTCATAAAATTTCTAATCAGGGTACAAATAAGGAAATAAGGGTTCGTGTTGCTATAAAATAAATCATTAATTCATTCAAAAAATTCAACACTATCAAAATATTTGAATTGAAGTGTTTTTTATGATAGCAATTTTAATCATTGTCAAATATCATTTATATTTGTCTCAACTATGCTGCATCCTAACTGTGCTGTGATGCCACTATCCTGGGATTCTTTTATCTTAATTTGATTAATAAATAACAAAATTGGATAGAACTTAATAACTTACATGTACTAGACACTTAACAGTATAGAACATTCTACAATGTTTTGGAGGCCACTGAAATATTAGGAGCATAAAACCCCCTATGTTTCCATTTAATTTATGTATATAATTATTTTTTTGGATTAAGATTACTATTTTAAATGGCTTATTTATAGTAAAAATATTATAATACGTAATATTTCATTACAACATTCATCAAAAAATGTTTTAAATTTCATTCCACTGCAATTTTGTTATCACTTTAAAGTAAATTATAAAAATATTAAAAAAAAATTGTACGCAAATATAAACAATTATTGTAATTTTAAGTAAAATATTATTTTTAAATAAATTTTTATTATACAGACAGTTTTTGATCATTTACAGTTAAACATATTAGATTCACCCTTAAAATTTATTAACGTTTATACATTGGTATCAATATCTGTGTTGCTATTTGTTTTGCATCAATTAATTAAGAACCGACGAATAATTAAATTGGGAAATAAAATACCTTCTGCTCAAGGACATCTTTTGGGATGTTTTTCACTTATTATCAAAGGACCAGAACAAATAATTCCTGAATTTATAAAAATAGCTAAACTGTAAGTAATCTTACTATTTTTTCATTTTATTTTAATTGTTATTCAGATAATAATTATTCTATGGTACTTTAAGATTATTTTTTTGTATTTTCTGTGATTTATTTATTTGTGTAACCCGTTAATTCATATCATTGTCTCCATGGCTAAGCTGCGTATCTCACTTCTTCAAAATTATTTGAGAGAAAGAAATTAAATAGGTATCAATGAATACAGGTTTTAAATAATCTATTATATTAAGAATATACATAATATTTTTTATATTAAAAATATTTGAAATATGTGTTTATATGGTATAAATGTATTTTAAAAAAAACCCAGCACAGGTGGGTCGCGGCACAGTGGTATAGATGGATCAAGTATAATGATAACTGACAGTGATTAAAATCACTATAAAAAAAAACCCTTCGATGCAAATCTTTAGATAGTGTT